TTGAAAAACCCTTTGATTGATCATCTCGACATCGAGATGTATGACCATGAAAAATAAAAAGATTTTAAGTCTTAGAAATAGTGCATTTTACAACATACTATCTACACCGTCCATATTCAATATTTTCATATGTTTATAGATCTACTTGATTTTAACCATTTTTTAAATTAAAAAATTTATAATTAGGTGTAAAAATAGATTATGAGATAATCCTAAGAACATTTTACATCAAAATGATAAAATTTGAAGGTGTACCTTACCTCTACAGCTATGGATGCATCTGTATGCCAACTGCACCCTTTTAATTATTGTATAGACATTTCATATCTTTGAATATTAAATTATAAAATATAAAAGGTGTGTAGGGCCTTGAGGGGATTATTCGAGATGATTTTCAGAAATTGAAAGAGAAATGAAATTTTAGGCGTTTTGGAAGCCAAGCTTGGGATGAGGAGGAAACCCTGGGTTTCTTCAAATTATTAGTTTGACATCTTGTTGTGGCTAAACAGACTCTATCAACATACAATGATCATTTCCTTGACGATTTTTCTAAAGTATTTATAAATATGTCAATTGATTTCAAAGATCCAACATCAATGTATAATTGTTGTATTTTGATTTCCCCAGTAAACAACAAGTCTAAGAATTCAAAGCATAATATATGGGTTGAAGAAGATTATGGAACTGATATGGAATTCATCTTACCCTACGTTTGAACTTTAGGATGAGTTTTCTCTAATAAGAGGAGAATGATCTAGGATTAAATTATTGTTATTTTTTATTTTTATTTAATTTCAAAGGATGCATATTTTAATTTAAGTTTTAGGTTTTATTTTTATAGTTTTGAAGTTTTTAAGTATACTAGATTTTCTCAATTTTTATTTGTTAATTATTGGTACTTCTCATGGGTATTATTGATGGGAACTTTTCACGGGTTACTCTTCGTATGAGTAAAATTGATGCGAATTTCGTATTGAAGTTAGAACTTTTTGGGTTTGAATATCTTTGAATATTAAATTATAATGTAGAAGAGGTGTGTGGGGCCTTGAGCTAGTCATTCTATGAAAGAAGGATATATATGTGATCTAGCCGGAGTATATAGCAATTTTTTTCTTTCTTTTTCAATTCTTTTTCTTTTCTTCATGGTCTAGATCACTTTCAAGTAGTCTTTTTACAATATAATAACTTCAAATAAAATAATACATTAGGATCTTAAGAACTTGTAGCTATTCAAAACCTTTCTTTCAATAACAAAGAAAAAGACACAATCTATGCTTGGGAATAAAATACACAATAAATAAATATGAAATAAGCAAAAGAGGGTGCCGGAGATTACCTCAATCGGGCTTAGTACACCCCACGTCGAGTCTCCTCTTTTCGATGGTACTCGAGATCTTTGATCGATCTCTTGATTTCTCATTTTTATGGCAAAACCTAATCAATGCACATGGAAATCGATCTAGAGCCACCTATCTAAAGCCTCAATGCTTAGACCTAATTTAACCCCCTTGGCTTGATCCTTATAAGATATAGAAATCTACAAATGAGAAAGAAAACTACCAACTAAGGATGATCCCTTTGCTACCCACAAAATGTTATAACGAAATTAGCTTGATTTAGAACCCATGAGAGAGAGAGTCAAACTGACCTAGCCTAGCTTGGGCGTGCTTCCTTAGAGCCTACAATAAAGAGAGAGAGACTTGCTAGGTTGGGGTGTGCCCCCTTAGGATAGTTTGAGAGAGAGAGAGAGAAAGAGAGGTAGGCTAGGGTGGGGCGTTTTCCCTTAGGTTTCTTGGAGTGAGAGAGAGACAACCTATGTGGGACATGCCCCTTAGAGAGGTTTGAGAGAAAGAGAACATTTTAGAGAGAGAAGTGAGAATAAGTAAGAAGTGTAGAGACAAGGGAGGAGAATGATCTCGTTTATAGATTTTTAATGCATTACGGTTTGCCATAAAATCGTAGGAGCAGATCTTGACCGTCGATTTAGTGAGATTTGTGGGATGAGAGATGTGAGCCATCAATTCTCTAGATCCACCATCAAGATGCTAAGGAAGGTGCTAGAATCATATCTTCCCCTTCATAAACCTATTCCCATCAAATAAGTTAAATAAGGAAATTATCTCTTTATTTTTTTTATCAGTAAATATTTATTCCTTACTTTTCAAATAAAACTTTCTTGATTAAAAAGATATTCTAAAACTCAATATTATCATTCCTTAATGCAAGTAGGCTTCTCTCCAAAATGGAAAGCCAACTAGGGTGGGATGCCTCTCGCCATATTTAGCATGAAAAGGCAATCCCCTATGGGTGGGGCGTGCCACCCTTTGATGGCCACTCATGGGCCCCACCCAATTATCCCATGTGATTTAAATGGGCTTCCAATAATTATGGAGGATCCCACATATTTTATAAACAATAAAAAAATTGATTTTCAAAATTTTCAAACCTCTTAGTTCATTTAAAACTTTAGAAATAAATTTCTCTTGATTTATAAATCCAAATGACAAAATTAAAATATAAAAAAATTCATAAAAATTTAAATAAGCAATCTAAAAATCAAATAACATAAAATTAATTAAATTAAATTAATTTTGATAGGAGTCGAATCCAAATAGGTTTAGGATTTAATCAACGCATAGGAGCACTCTACATTCAACTGTTCACTACGATCCACACTAGTTTTTTCTCAAACTAACCCAGCAGTTCCCATGATTTATAGTCCATTGCAGGGGTTTATGATTGGATCGCCAAAGTCAATCAATTGACTTGGGGAGAAAATCAGAATCTGTAGATTTCAGGTTCTCACCTAGAGACAAACCATGATCCGCCAAACCATGATGCAATCATGACACTATGGTGCATAGGGGTATTCTCTCACACATGTACATACTTCACCCTCAATAGTGGATTACTTTACCAGTATGGCTATTTATTTACATTTCGTGTGATGATACAACGATGAGGTTTTAGTCTTGTCTCTATAGACTATTCATCGCACATAAGGGTCACACAGTCCATTGGCTTTCATCCGGGCATACTTCGACTTTATCAAGGGCTAACCCACTAAACCCTCCTCGACTATATCTCTATGCTCAGGTACCTTAGGTTTTCTAACTCGGCTGGCCTTGCATGTCAAGCCTAATCCGAATATTGGCAAATTGTATTTGCCTAGTATGGTCTATAAGAGGACCACACTCCCATTGAGTTTATGTTTCACTATATATAATGCTCATATAAGCTCTCATAAGGCCTTTAAAGGCCACATAAATCCAACATTCCATACAATTTTAGAATTTTAAAGAGGGTAGAGAGAGAGAGAGAGAGAGAGAGAGATTTAATGGGTAGGATAAAAGAGGGAAATGTAGTTTAGACTTTAAAACATGAATGATTTACATACAGATCTTAAAATTTTAGGTAAACTACAAAATGCTCTGCTCATTGGCAGAAATTACAAAGAAGGTCGGTTAGCCTATATTTGTTTACTTTTCTAAATTTGCCCCTCGGTCAGCTCGAATTTTAATTTTTTACTTTATATTTTTTTGTAATTTTCACATATAAGGGGAGTATTTTGTATTTTACCTAAAATTTTAAGGCCAGTACATAATTCACTCTTAAAAACAATGACTTTTTGACTGGGGCAGGGTAAAAGCAAAAAAAAATAGAAACTTTTTGATCTGGAGGCAAGGTAAAAATAGGAAAAAATAGTAACTCGGTCATAGGTTTGATATTAAAAGCATTGGGGGGTAGAATATCTACAAAGTTCATTTTAGAAGGATATCCATAATTTTCCCTAATATGTCAGCTATTCTATAAGAAAATAATTTTTCATGCTTTTGGAAAAAGGGTGAGGTTTATACAAGGCACTCTCCTTGTAAAGTATAAATAAGGTGTACCACTAAATTTTTTTTTGGAGCTATAGTTTTGGTTTTAGAATCTTTAAGATGGCTTGAAAATATATTTTTATCTCTAATTATGAAATTTTAAATTTTAAAATAGCACTCGAAAATCTTGAATATAAACATCAAGATAATTTGTTGCAACAAGCATAACATTTAGGATTTCAAAATTTTTTTTTTATCTCCACGCATCTTGATGCCAAGATGATCAAATCGGAGGATTTTCCAACATTGGAACACTCTCTTGAAGAGGAATTTTCAGGAGCACCGTTGACACATTTCTGAGATAAATGTAATCTTTTTTCTCGTATACTGTCTCTACCTCTCTTCTCTCTCATCTTCTCTATATTCCGCTCTCTCTCTCTCTGCCCCTAAATGCCATTGTATGTCACTACCATTGATGGGTTTCTTCACAGAGACATGGATTGGAGTTGATTAAGCCTATAACCAAGGAGGCAGTGATGAATTTGCTCTCTACCCATTTCCCTGAGAGTTTAGGGATTGCTGATCTCGGCTGCTCTTCTGGTCCCAACACATTCTCAGCTTTAATCACCATCATCGAAGCGGTGCACAACATATATCAGCAGGTCAATTTGCCAATGCCGGAGTTGCGATTGTACCTTAATGACCTGCCTGGAAATGACTTCAACTCAATTTTTAGAGGACTCCCTTCATTCTATGAGATGGTGAAAAAGAAAGGAGTTTCAGGGTCTTGCTTTGTGGCTGCTGTCGCGAGTTCTTTCTTTTGTAGATGTTTTCCGTCAAATAGTTTACAGTTTGTTCACTCTTCTTACAGTCTGCATTGGCTATCACAAGTAAGCAGCCACTCTTTTTTCTCCTGCCATTCTGTTTATCTCTTTCATTAATGTCGAAACAAAATAAAGAAACCTTTTTACAAGGATTTTATAATCTTTTGTTTACCATGAATCTTGGAAAAATCCTTATGATGATATTTTCAAATGCTGCCGGAACAGGATTAGACTAGTTGGACTGATGTTCCGGATCACAAACTTGTTCAGTCAAGTGCAAAAAGGGGATCATGAAACAAATATGTTTTCAATATATTTTGTGAATTTATTTTTATATTTTAGGTTTTCAACCAATTATTACATGTCCAATCTAATTTTGGTAATACCGATATGCTCAAATGGTTGCCTGATTCAAACATACCAGGTTTAATGGAATTTTGGTTTTAAGCTAAGCAAACAGTTTTCAATAAATTTTATGTGTCGGACCAACATAAAACGCAATTTATCCGAAATGTAAGATATATGGTGGTCCCGCATGTCCAATATTCAGTTCAACATGGGCTAGAACACAGAAGTTAACATGTTTTGTGGAATCAGATACTTTATGAAATCATTTTGGTTCATCCTTTTATATTCATTTTGGTGCAACTAACTATAAATTCAACTACACATGTTCTCAGATTTTTCTTTTGAAAAGGTTTAGGTAAAGTATCCACTTTATACTATTGAAACAAGGTGCACATAAAAAATCCTCAAGAAGTGAGTGTGTTCCTATTATCTTGAGCTCAAGATATATAGATATTATGAAAAAAGTAATTTTAAGATATAAAATAGTGCATCTTATAACAAGTTATATGCACCGTCTATTTTTTTCAAGATTTTTAAGTGTTTATCTATCTATTTGATCTGTGCCGTTTATGAAATTTTAAATTTCATAACTATGGATAAAAATAAAATTTCATGCCATCATAAGATTTTCGCACCAAAACTACTGCATCATGCAAAATTTAAATTTCCTTTCCAAAATCGTCTATAAAAATATAACAATTTCGAATAAATTCGCAGGTTCCTCCAGGACTTTATGATGAGCATGGAAAGCCCCTTAACAATGGCAATATATACATAACTGAAAATAGCCCACCAAGTGTAACACATGCCTTTCTTCAACAATTCCGGAACGACTTTTGTCAATTTCTCGAGTTCCGTTCAGAAGAGGTGGTCCGAGATGGGTGTATGGTGTTAGTATTTATAGGTCGAAGGACAAAGCAAGCAGGTGATAAAGAGGGTGGCCTTATATGGACTCCTTTGAGTCAAGCTATAAAGAACCTGGTTTCTAAGGTGCTCCCCCCATATCTATGTCTACTATACATATCCAAGCTTTGGCACTTTGTAGGACAAAACAATATGTGTGTTTTTGACAATTACTAAAAAAAAGAAAAGAAAAAAAAAAAAAGGCTATATGTGTGTTTTTTTTGTGAACATATGGGAAGTGTACAGATAGAAACCAGAGATTTGTGAGTAGGATGAAAACTGCTATTTGCAATTTTCATCTCTGTTACGAAGTGGCAGCATTTGGTAAATTGGCAAACTAAGTCCAAGTATTGTTAAATGCTCGCAATCCAACCATGAATGTGCAGAACCAAAAAATGCCACCCCTACAAAGCCGATCCATGTTTCAGGGTTAGATGTCTGTCTCTTCTAAACTTTTGAAGGTGTGTTGGCACAGGGATTTATAGAAGAGGAGAAGCTGGATTCTTTTAATTTGCCATACTATGGTCCATCTGCCGAAGAAGTTGAAGAAGAGGTGAAGAGAGAGGGGTCATTTACAATTTCGCGTTTCGAAAAACTACGAATAACACCATGGGAAGCCAGCCAGAATGGAAAAGACTTAGCATTGATGTTGCGAGCTGTGGCAGAACCCTTAATCAAACATCAATTTGGAGAGGAAGTCATGGACATGCTATTTGAAGAATATGCTGAACTTATTCAATTGGATATCGACGAAGGGAAGAAGAAGCTGACTCATTTTGTTCTGGTCTTGAAAAGATCAAAGTGAACCTACTTTGGTTCATCATCCAGCAAACTATCCATTAAATTCGACATTTCAGATTATGGGGAGCTTGGTTTAATGTTTATGTACATCATATCTTGATGTCGATTTGTGGTGAGCTTGTTCTATAGTTCATTTACTTGTTTTTTCTCCAGTGGACCTCACTTTGAAGTTTTTTGTAAGTTTACATGAAGTGTTTTTTTGCAATAAAAATATTTCTTCACTAGTGTGTCCGTTGTTTATATATAAAATTATTTATATTCACAAACAATCCAACCAACTAGAACCCTGACAATAAAGAAAGATTCCAAGATATACCTTTAGAGTTTCATAAACACAAATAGTTTTCATAAAATATCAGCTCTAAACCAAGAAGAGGAGAGAGAATGAGAAAGATGATAGGTACAAGCCACAGGGGAGAAGGAGAGAGAAAGATGAGGGAGGGGGGAGAGGAAGATGGAAGGAACATCAGTTGGAATGAGGAAAAGTGGCGAGAATGGAATCTTATCAAATATAAGATGGATTGAGATACTGATGTACAAAGATGCACTTATTTTATTTTTTTGAAAGGGGTGGATTCTGATATTTGGGGTCCGAACCATGGTTACCGGGAGCCAGTGCGGGAACCGGAGATCGAAGGGTATCAGGAGCTCAAACATTCAGGGAGCGTTCTTCGTACAACGTATCTATGTTGAAGCTGGATCCCATATATAGAGTATCTTGTTCTCAATGTTCATGGGAGAGAGATCCGATTTCACAAGGACTGTGGTTCCCACTTCTCATGGGATCTCAACCCTAAATACCCAGGGACCGCAATCTGTATAAATTTGGTTCCTCAATCCATAAATATGAAGCATCGTAGTCCCAATGCTATTGTAAACTAGATCCTATTATGCAATAGATGGGGTTTCCTCTTCCCATTGTGTTAATAACTCTAGTAGCAATCTAGATAATTTAATTCTTTATGTTTGGGATCAATACATAAAAAAGATCGAGATCCACAAATATAGGGATTGAGATCCCGACAAGGATGGAAATCCATAAATATTGGGATTGAGATGATTAAATCATGGATTACATTACGAATATGTTATGGATCAGGATCAATAAAATAGGGGGATCGAGAAGCATGATTAGGTGGGATTGAGGTCACTACAAATTAGGAATAGAGATTTTGTGGAAAGGTGGATTCCAGACCCCGAACCATGTACCCTAGGGTCGGTCCTGGTAACAATGTCCAAACCCTCACACTTGTGATTTTTTATTTATTTCTTAATAGGAAGATGGGTTGGAACATCCGGTATAGGTCAGAATGAAGCTTGTCACCAAAAATGTTAGAGGTTTAAGGAGCAACAAAAGAAAAAGAGAACGTTTGTTTTTGAGTTTTTAAAGAAGGGTGCGACATCTCACTACTTAAAGAAAAGAGCCCGGGTGTAATTCGTTAGGGCTTGATGATTGGCAACGCTATATTCTAGGCTCAATTCCTACCAGGGTAAGGGCTCTCCCTCCACAGACTCACCAAATAAAAAATTAAAAAATTAAAAAAAAAAAAAATAAAGAGAGAAAACACCGAGAACCAGGGCTCTAGCGAGCCCGAGCTATCTGGGGTTCTTGCTCTCTGGTGTTTTTTAGTGGAGCAGCAACAGAATTCTCAAGAGGTTTGTATATGCTTTGGGATCCTATTATTATTTCTAGTCAGGGTGTCTGCCCTTACGACAAGTTTGTGTTTGTTTGTTTTGAGGGACCACTTTTTGGCTTTAGGTGGTTTTGGGTGAATTTATATGGCCTCATAGGCCAACTGTTACACTGCTTTAGGCAACATTCTCTCTTCTATTTTGTGCAATGCTAATTCTCCTGCTATTTCGGTGGTGAGCTTTAGTGTGGTCTGATGAGCTCGAAGAACTACCTTCTCGACAATAATGTTAGATGGACTTAATTTTGCTAAAAACTGCAATTATTAAGGGAAGACCTACGGATTAGAAACAAATACTCTGGACTCTCGGGAACATCAAAAACAAAATAAGGCTTTATTGGGAATTATTGAGTAAGAAAACCAAGGCTTTATTGGGAAAGTCGCTGGCGTCATGGTGATAGTACCCCACACCTTCCCCATCATGTTGTGGTTTATATTCTCACCACTAAAACCACTCTATTAATATTTTTAAAAAGCCAACTCCTAATTTACTTGAAAAAACAGTGTAGAGGTCTGTCTTTCCTAGTATTCACAAAACTAGCCGAACTAACTGCTAACCATCTAGTTAGATCGGTTCCGATTTTGGGCAGTTTTGGTGATCAATCGGTATTTAGAAACAAATAAAAAAATGTATATAAATTCTCAAAAATAAAGAATTTGATTTGTAATTCATTTATAAATATTCTTTACATTGTGGTAAACATTGAAAATTTTTTTGGTCATTAATACTCACTTGTATATTTTCCCATCTTTTTAAAAAAAATTTAAAAATTACTCTAGAAAAAATATAAAATGCGTTAAAATTCATTTTTTTTCATTAATTTTCAACTTCATTTGAATGTGTTTTGTTTTAATTATTCTTTATATGGTTTTCATATTTTAGTATATTTTTTTGTATCTTTTTTATTCTTTTCATTACTTTTTTTACCACCTGGGACTTGCCCGGTTAGAGTGGTTGAATCAGCCAATTTACCAATTAGGCCGGTTAAACCGCTTCCAAACTTATTTCCAATTAGATTTGCGAACACTGGTCTTCCCCCATTGAAAAAAAAAAAAAGAAGAAGAAGGAAACACTCCAAGGTTTTACACATGCTTATAAAAGGGAATGGCCAGAGTTCAATGCTTCTCATCAATATCACTAGTTGGGGGGTGGAAGTATACTGGAAATTGAGGTCAAAAATCAATTGGCTTAAGGAAGGAATAGATTGGAAACAGATATCCTCATAGAATCGGAGTTCGAGACCCTCCTCATAACTATGTCTTTATTTTTCATCCTTGTCAGATAGCAAAAACATAAAAATAAATAAATAAATAAACCTTATGAAACAAATCTGGTTGAAAAAAAAAAGTACCACCTCATCAACTAGGATGAAATCATACTGCTAGAGGCCTAGTTGGCCTAGGAATAAGAAGATTAATGCTTATGAACACATCCCTAATAACTATTGATGGTGGAGATGCGAGAGCTTCCATGGGAATTAGCAAACAAGGCCTCATTCCCGTCTTTTACTTTCATGGGATAATTGTTTGATTTCAATTTCGTTCTTTCAAGTTATGCTTCCTCTTGAAGCAATAGGCTTATAGGCTTATGGCCTGGTTTTGAATCATCACCCTTATTGCATCAAATTGTCCTTAGATTTTCATAGTTGATGGCAATTCAGAGTGTCAGTCTCCATCTTAACACCAATTCCTTCTAATTGATCACATAGATGCTTAGCTTGATGAGAAAATTCTACAATCGAGCCATTACTTTTGCTTACTTGCCGTTAACTTTTGCTTCCAGGAATGCCTTTCCTCATTCTACTCACCTGTTTGTGCACAGTAGTTAACCGATCCCAGGCTTTTTTTGTAGAACATAACTAGCTTACCTGAGATCTGAGTTGCAGCCCATCAATGGAAAATCCTACATACCTTCAGGTAGGCTACTATGACTGCTGATCTCTTGGGCAAAGAGGCAGTTTCCAAAGTCAAAGCAAGGGTTTGACTTGCACTCCCCCCAGATTTTTTAATGCTTCTCTTTTACCTGATGTTGCCAATGTCCCATTCCCCTTCCCGAGGGTTGTAAAAGGATTGTCTTGCAACTCTTTCTTATTTGTTTGAATAAAATGGGTAGCCGCATGACATCCCCATTGATTCATCCAAAAAAAAAAACAATAAAAAAAAAAAAAAAAAAAAAGAATCTAAATTGCATGTAGAGCCCTATCATTCTGTTTCTTCCATGATACAAGTATGTCATGTGCAATTGGTCTTGGTTCAATCCCATCGACTACATCCCATAGATCTGGCCCTATCAAATAGCTTATCAACCACACTTTTTAGTCTCTATAATTCTTTATGGTTAGAACTTCGGGAACAATGGTACTTAATGTTTTTCTCCTTTTCTTCTTTCCTTTTTTTTTTTTTCTTTCTTCCTTTTTGTTTTTAATGAAAATTCAACTAAAGAAAAAATAATTAAATATCGGAAAGAATAACTAACTTCTAATTGCTGAGTCCTGAATCTTAAAAAACTTGCTATGATACCTTGTTGAAAATACACAAGACAGCTTTGAATATTGACGGACACGATTTGATGTGCACAAGGAAAAGACCGCTGCAAAAGAGACTTTTATTTCAAAAATATTTGGCCGCCTTGGGATGTTACGCACTCTTTCTCCTACAATTTGTCTCTAACCTCAATGGCCTCTTATTTTGTCTCTCTAGCGCTTACGCCCAATCACGCACATTGCCCATCTTTCCCTCTTGATACATCCAGTTCTCTCTTTTAAAAATCCATATATCCCTTATGCTATCTACCACCACCTTGTTATAGCACTTTTTACTTTTCCTGTTTTTAATAGGATTAGGTATACCCTTATGTTTTGCCTACAATAGAACTCCAATAAGATAACTTTGGTAATAGATTTATTTTGATCCCATATCATCATTATCATCATAGTTTTTTTTAATTATTTGGGGTCGACTATACGAATCTTGGCCTACCAATCTGCTATATTAAATTCTATATCCTCAGTAAGGCCATATGTCCTCACATCTTCTTAACTACTTCTAACCCCAATCTTTTGAGCCTACCCCTTGCTCTTTTCAATCATTTTAATTGAACTAACTCGCACCTCCTAACATGTATTGAATTAGGCAAGAGCTACACATGGTCAACCCACCGAAGTCTACTGTCTCTCATCTTATCGCCAAATAACGTCACACCTAAATTTTTCTGAATGAATTCATTTCGAATTCGAACCCTTTTTGTCTTGCTACTCATCCATCTCAACATCCTCATTTAAACTACACTCATTCTATGGGTATATTGGTTTTTGTTCTAAATATTGTCTAATAATTGTCCAACTAATAGGACTCCTAATAAATAGAACTTCTAACTTAATGGAACTTAGCAATGCCTATCTTTAACATTCCCTTCTACAGTGTACATCGAGACCACTCGAATGCAAATCATCAATGAGATTTGATGAGACACTCCCTTAAAGTAGTGTTAGGCATACATAAATGAGCATCATAAAATAAATAATGATCCGACATAT